ATATTCTTGATCAGGGCGACAAGCTGAGTCGATTTGGCCCTGTCCGTCTGTCCGTTCGTCCGTATGTATGAACGCGTCGATATAAGAAAATATAAGAATGTCCGCATTATTATTTAAAATTTCCGTATATATCGCGCGCATATCCAGTTTATCACTAAAAAACGATAACTCATTCCGATATTTCTTATCGATAAAAACTTTATTGAAAATCAGTTATAAAATTATATCTCTTGCAGCTTTAAAGCTAGAGTTTTCAAATTTATATATTAAGATGCATATATATATATTAAGATACATTTTATACAATTTCGGTTTCTGTTAAAATTTACCCCCCTCCCCTATATGCTACCTCTCAGTTTCATGTTTGTAAAAGGCTTATTTCTAATACTAGAGACTTGTGCTTTGGAATATACATACATGTATGTTTACGTTCTGACTTGTTTTAATTTGTTTTGCTTGACCTTTTATTTTCAGAATTATCAATCATAAAGCAAAAATCACTGAAAGTTGACCAAGAATTAGAAATATCTGAAAATAAGACAAGAGATCTAAGGCTAGATATTCAGAAGTATACCTCAAAATTGGAGCTACTTAATGAGAAAATATACACTAAACGAAGGAACCATGATATTGAAGAAAGCGAATACGAGCACGAACAGTTTGAGCTAAGCCAAAAATTGAAGGTATATTTGGTGATCTGCTTCAGTTTCTAAAATATTACATTAAAGTTATTTTCAGGATACCGAAATGAGTACATTAAAGTTAGAGAAAGATATAAATGAATTGTTAAATGAAATCGAGCTAAGCAAGGACCTCGTACTCGATAGACATAGAGAAGCTCTTTCCTGGGAAACAAAGCATAAATTAATTGAGGAAACTATTGATTGGACTAAAACTGAGCGTTCATTAAATGGTGAAATAGGGGCAATGAAAATTGAAATTCATAGAATGACCATTCGCTTGACTCAATTAAAACGTGCACAGGAAAAATTAGTGCAAGATTTAGAGCATTGTGTAATGCATCGTGAACAAATTTTCGTAAATGCATCGGTCAAAGAGCACGTTGATGCAAAAAAGAAGAAATATAAGAATGCATCCCAGGCTCAAATCAAGCTTGATGAAGTCCGCAACAAATCGAAAGCCATTCAAAATGAAATAACATTTCTTTCAGAAAAGCGCATTACTGATAACATAAATAATATTGAACGAATGGTCTACATTCTACGAAAAAATCAGAGCGATCTTAAAGAAGTTTCAAATAAGGATGCAT